CTTTGGTTTGAGAAAACTGAAGGTCGCATCAGTCAATACAATGTAGTTTCTGCTCTGTCGAATAAGAAGTTGCATAGAGTGGGGAAGAAAACGAGAAATGCAGAGAACATAGTGTTCCACTATTCTCTGAGTGATCTTTTGTTGAAGACTCTGCTGGAAACTCCATGGAAGACGGCTTGAAGACACCATTCGAAATCTTATACTTTGGGCATTACAAAAGTTTGCTTTTAGTCATGTTTAACACGATATATACTTGTGCCAACACATTCCAATGAGTGTTTTTTGAAAAGTAGGTATACATGAGAAGAAATTAGGGAATTTCTTTCTCAATGTAGATGTGCGGAAATGTTTCAATGTGGACTACTAAGTTTTCCAAAAGTGACCTTGTTTTGATGGCTGACACCTCAGGATCAGCCTTAGGCATATGGACTCTTCCTAAATTGGCTCCTAAATGGATCGGTCCTTTTCGAATCTCACGTAAGATTGGTCCTCTAGACTACGAACTGGTTTCTTTAGAGGATGGTACGATTCTTTCGTCTATTCACGTCGTAAGGCTGAAACCGTACCATCGTTCATCGTCAATTCTACTCCCAGATGCTTAAGGGCACTGATTTAGCGTCTCACTGTACATGTAAATACTTATATTCTATAGCTGTGCTCTTCTTTTTGCTAGATTTTGCTTCTTCGTGTTGTATTATAGTGTGGAATATCGCTAACCCTTTCAGTTGCAATTGAGCAACACTGTCTTACTATTAACCTTCTCGTTTTATTACGTATTACGTTACTTTGTACTAGTTCGAAAAATCTCTTACAAAAACATTTTGTTGAAAAGAATACTTAATCCCCATTAGTTCCTTCTTTTTCTACAGTTTTATTCTGCATTAACGTTAATTGGCAATTCACCATGGCCAATAAAAAAGATAGCTGTGGTCTCCTACGGGATTATAGCAGTATCATAACGACATTATATCTGGCAGAATGATTTGTAATAGCATAAAGTAATAGAAAGGACGCAAAAAGAAAAAAAAGAACTTGCAAGTTCTTCAGAATTCAAGGTTTATAAATATGTAGAAACAGTTACGTTTTAACGTAACTTCCATTAAATAAAATATAATGAGAATGGAAAGAAGAATTAAGAAGATTAACTTTTAGCGTGTACGTATAACGTTAAGAGTTTTAGAAGATAGCTAGCTCATGTTTTCTTCTCGAAAAGCGAGTCTTAGAAATTCTTTCTTTTCCTCGTCTTCACTCTCAACCGTGGAGCCACAATGTTCCTGATGGGGAGAAAAAACAAACATTTCAAGTTTTTTCAGGTTTAGACCACTTCTTTTTCGTTTTCTTGTCCATATGGAACTTGCAGCCGCTCTACTGCGTCACTATGAAGGTTGGATTTTCCGGAGGCTTATGATTATCGAGAGGAAGACGTATCAATCTTCGTTACGTTAGGAACTACAATAAATCTCGAACATCTATAAAGAAAGAGCTTTCAGAAAAAAAGTTAAATTTTATAACTTATTAAATCTAATTCGTCTTTTCATTCAGCAAATATCTCAGCTAAACGTTCGTGTTCGATTTTCAATTGACTTTTCTTCGCAAACGTTCGAAGAACACAGTCCACCTTCTAATCTTTATTTAAAAAAAGGAGATTTTAATATACATATATATAGGTACACAAAATATGTACACAAAAGCTTCTAGTTCGAGTCTTTTCTCTCTCTTCCTGGACTGCGGGATATTTGCCTGATAGCTGTGTCGTTGATGATGCCTACATCCCATGATGGAAGTCATACACCATTTCAAAACGCGCTTTATATGCGCAGCTGATATCCTGACTCGATGCCACCACCATGAGGTCTGGTTTTGACGTAGGCCACGTATCACTTGCAGCAAGCTGTACTCTGCATTCAGCCACCCAGAGGCTATCATCTAGCCTTTGAGCGACATGCAATGCCAGTTTTCCATTATCTTCGAAACCTGGATATGGTTTGATGATCATGATGCAGCTTTTCTCCAACTGACCGGCCCAGGATCTCAAATTTACAGCTTTTTCTAATTTCTCATCGATAGACCATCTCCTGAAGATATTACGGTGTTAATTGCCTGATGTTTCTGCTTTTGCAGGTGGTGAGGGTGCACGACTTTGCATTTAGATTATTGACTTTTATATTTTTATTATTTATTTTATTTATTTGAGAACTTTTGGAGTGATGATAATGAGAAATTTAAATTTGTCAGAATTGTATTGTTATCAATGAATTGACACAAAATAAGTTCTTTTGAAGTGCGCGAAATTCTTAAAATTTCAAATTTCCTCATTTTTCTCATAGTAAAAATATTCTGTTATGCTGGTACTATGCCGAGATAGGCTACTCTATCGCGTATCTAGTTACGTTATCTTAACGTAATTTAAGTAGTTGACTTCAGTTGAATACGACTCATTGAAAGGTATAATTGAGATTTCACTTTCTTAAAATCAGTAAATGGCTGAAATCAATGGTGATTCTGACTGAGGGAGTACTCTTAGATAAAAAAAAACAGTACGATCTTTTTGGATGTAGGCTAATTAGCTTCTTTCCCCTTTTTCCCGTTAGTTTTCTACTCAAGTCTGTATCAAAATAGCATAGTAGCCTTCATTTTCCTCTCTCCGGCTTGCCTTCTTTTGCTCATGTCGTGCATATGAAGTTTTCTTGATTTAACTTTCAGCTTATATTTTTAAAAAGAAAAAAGCTATTTACATGCGCGAGAGGATTGAGCAAGAAAAAAAATCAAGGAGAAAACGAGAAAAGAAAAACGAACCTAACGAAACAAAATGTCAATTATTAAAATAATAAACAAAAATCAAAAAAATAAACATGCGTGAAGGACTCAATATACGAGTCCGGAACGAAGTCTGCTTCTGCAAACACCGCTGTCCCAGAAGTGGGTGGCGGCTTATGGCTGAATATCCGAACAGTGGTGAACAGCCTGGACTTCTGTGCGAAGAGTATTGCTAAATACAGTACTCTTCTTGTCCAGCTGACACCACTGGTCGGCTTTTCGACCAAAACCAGTAAAATTCCACGACCCACTTTTTCCACCCATCGAAGAATGTTGAGCATTCTGATCTTTTTTTCATCTTCATTATACATATCATCCATTGATGGTTGACAGCGACAATGGTGATGATAGATATTGTTTTTATTTTTTTCTTCCTGTTGTTGCTGATTCTAAATTTAATTATTTTTAAATCATTTTCCTCTCTCCGGGGAGAGTTTGACTGTCACTAAAGCAGATGCACTAAAACGTCAGAAAAAAGACCATACTTGTCTACTTCTAATGTTAGCAGATATCGAAGAACTAAAAACCAAATATACACTAAGTTGTTATAAAGCGGTTATTCACGGTTACAGTTATGACCGGTTATGGTTAACCGTAACCGTTGCATATCATTTTCCTTTAAGAAAGCGAAAGTAAAAAGTAAAATAGTTGATCTAGTCAAGCGTGGGAATATCGCCCACTTAAATGAATTTGTTCTGTGTCGATGAACGCTTGATTTTTTGCAATAACATGGATGACAGCAACTGTTGTTATAGGTTTATGAATTAAACTGCATTTTTGTATTCTCGCTAGAAAATCTGTCATAACACTCTTAAATTCTGCTCGAAATGATGGCGCTGCTAGCGAATAGATATAAAATCCTACTGCATCGTTCGTAAACCACAGTATACGTGTTATACAACTAGCAAACTCTTCCCATTCTATAGTCAAATCCGATTTCTCTTGACCGCTTGTACTTGTGTCATAAATATTAAAAATTCCAAATGGAATAGTTAGAATAACGACGAATATTGTCTGCATTAAGGTCATTGTTCGATAATCTCTTGTTTTTGATCGACGATATATCGACAGTGTTGTTATCAAACTGTGTCGTTGCGAATAAAGAATATTATAAACAGTGAGTAGGCCAAAAATACCCATGAGAAGAGGTGGTCCAAGAGCATGAACAATAACAAAATAACAGCCAAAAAATAGACGATACACTTTGTTCTGTCCTGTAAAACATTCGTTATTGTAAATGTCTACAAAAAGTAGAAAATGAACTTGAACTAGTAGAGAAACAATAATGAGAATAGCAATAACTCGTCGAGCAATGTTTCGTTTACAAAATTTTCGAATTTGAACATTTCTACAACTAGACGCAAATCGATCGAATGATGCTAGAGTAATAAGATATGATGATATTAGATATAATGTGTATAGAATATAAAAACGGCCCCGACACCAGACAAGACTGCGTGTGTCGTAAATATCAATGGCAAAACCTGACACTAATAGTCGACATAGAAGCCCAAAAAATATTTGGATGAACGTAGTTATTGATGATGTTAATAGATACAAACAACACGAATTTGATCTCAAAGATTTTCGAGTGAAAAGTATAATATTGATCGTATGGCCGAAAATACCGAATGCGAATAAAATTGATAAAACGTTACGATACAATTGAATAGCAATATCGTGCAAGATTTGAATAGTTAATTGAGATGATGAATTTGATTCCATTTCAGCTTTGAACACTGATCAAGAATTATACCGTATACTCTACAGGAATGTAAAACAGGTGTATATATTTACATAAATAAAAATTATTTGACATCGTAAATGTCACAATTATTATAGTCTTTATTAAACCATAAATTATATTTTCATGATCAGCAGAGATCAAACGAACTATAGAAAAAATGATTTCATCTGTTTCTAAAATATCATTTAATTTATGTTAACAGAAACTATATTTCAGAGTCTTTTAGTATTGTATAATCATTTGCGGTTATTATCATACGATGTTTGTGAAAAGCGTGATTCCTTTGTGAAAGCATACACTTCTGCACTAAATGAGATAAAGTTGATAGACTCGCTTACTTCACATGACAACAATAAATAGAACCTGCTTCGACAAGATACAAAGTTACACCAAAGACAGATGCACATGTTTTTAAGCTAGAGAAAAAAAGCATGAAAGTAAATGATTTCCATTACTCCATTTGAAGTAAAATCAGATGCAGTAAACTATCGATCTGCTGTTAACTGACGATTTGAACTATACAAAAAATCTAGCGTTTCTGAGTACCAGGATGAAACTGAAAAAAAAATCGTTTCTTAAGCAGAAAGTGTGTTTTCATCGGGTAAATGAGAATAACCGATGAGAAAATGTTATTAAAAACTGACCAATTTCTACTATCTCACTCATCAAAGATCTTGTTTGAACTCATACCTTATGTAACACGCTTAATACTAATGGGATATAACCATTCAATTGTAAATTATGTAGATCCTTCTCGATAGTCAGAGTTGTTATCATTTTATGTCAAACAGTTTGTTAGAATAAAATTCAGTTAATTTATTAGTCTTTAACTAGTGAAATTTCTGATCGACTTGGAATTTCGAATGGATGAGTTTAGTTTAGTTTAAACTTTATTCATTCAAGAAAGAGAAATAAGAATAGTCATTTTACACAGATGCGGCCTAAGCCATTATAGGAGAGGAAAATGACATGGTAAATGGCACAAGCTATTACAGATGAAAAGCACGAAAAATAAGAGGCATAGTAGGAAAATGTATGTAAGGAAGAAGACAAGAAGAATAAAAAGACGCACGCTAAATCTTAAGGTATTGTACAGACGTTAAGCACAAGCGTGAGAGCAGTGTAGAGAACATGACAAATTTGGAAGGTTAGTTTAATATTTAAAACGTTTTTTAGCAATTATGTAATCGATCACCGATTTGACTACAAGTATATAGGAGTCTTTCTCAAGAGATACATTAAGAGAGAGAAGAGCCAAACCAAGAGGATTGCCGTTCAGTAAGGTGCGTAAATTATTATATAAATGATTTCTAGAGAAAGTATAGCAGGGACAATGAAGTAAATAATGTTGTCGTGTTTCTATTTCGCCGCATTGGCAAAGATTAGTATCAGATAAATGCTTTAGATAGAGATCAACATTTAACTGCGAAAGTTTATTGGATATTTTCGGTTTCCAAGTCTAGTTGATTATCAAAATTAAAAACACGTCCACATTTTGAAATTTTAAACTCGACTGATTTGTGATAAATAAATTTTGTTTTAAACAACCATTTTTATATCATAGAAAAGCTCAGACCTTGGAAACTTGAACTGGTCCATCTACGCGCCTAGTCCTTGGAACTGCCTTTCTGTAACTTCTCTGTGAACTAAGTTGAGAATTTTTATACTTCCTCGTTTGTTTTTGATCATTCTTACCATAATAGCTTCTTCTTGAAATGCCGTCGGCGAAGTCGAGGCCGGTTATTAATGTTGCTTTTCACCGACTGGACTGTCGCAGGTTGGTGACGAAGCCATGCTCGCTCTTTTCATTTGTGTGGTTCAGCTCCGCATTCCTCATGATGTAGTCGATCACGATGATGAAGAGGAAAGAAGCTAGGGCGTCAATGTATAATAATGATGATGAACGTGTATGATCGTTTATCAGACGACTTCGAAAATGCAACTTGCTCTTATCAGGCATTTGTATTTTTGTTGCAATAATTTTTCGGATTTTATTTGATGGTTATTGAGCAAGTTGTGACAATTGCGGGTTTTGTAATACCGAAATTGCAAACACAGCCATCGATTGAATCGAAGACCTTGTGTCGTAGGCGATTTTTCTGTTCTTCTTCACTTTCGGAGATGCTATCCGATGAATAGTGAGAATCTAGAAAGGAACAGAACAAAAAAATATTATCAAAAAACGACAACAAGAAAAACTTATGAAATTTGTTGGTAGAGCAGTTGGAAATAAGTATTTGTAAATCGAATATAGAACTGCTATGAATAACATGACTTTCAGTCTTGAAAATACTTTATTCGAGCTTTCGCCAGCTTTCAGTTGGC